GCTCGTCGGTCTCTGTGCGGAATAACGTCACGGGGTCATTGTGGAGGATTGTGGTTATTGTAGCTGCCGATGTGACGGAGGAGGAGGAGGAGGAGGAGGAGGAGGAGGAGGAGCGCGCTTGTCTCCTTCTTTAGAAGTAAAAAGTCATTTTAAAAAGCGTAAAATCTGGCGACGTGAAATCATAAATCTTCAGCTTTTTGAGCTTTTCTTTTTCCCAGCGGCTACGTCTCTGCCGTAAAAAAGGGACATTCCACCTCTCACAGTCCCCCCCCCCCCCTTCTCCTTTCTAGGGTTCGGGCTTCCACGCGTCGCGGAGGCAGAAGTACGGCAACGTGTTCAAGACGCACCTGCTGGGCCGCCCGCTGATCCGCGTGACGGGCGCCGAGAACGTGCGCAAGGTGCTGATGGGCGAGCACACGCTGGTGACGGTGGACTGGCCGCAGAGCACCGCCACGCTGCTGGGACCCAACTCGCTGGCCAACAGCATCGGGGACATCCACCGCAAGAGGAGGAAGGTCAGGACACGGGGAAAGACGCGCACGCGCACACGCACACGCACACGCATGGGTACACGGGGGAGGAAACGAGTCAGATACGCAGCAGAGAAACAGTTCACGTCTCATGTAAGAGCTCAGACGCACACAAACGGGCACCTGAAAGGAAACAGAGTCACCTGCTGCACAATGAGGAAGGTAGGACACACACACACACACACGGACGCACAAAGGAAGCCAGCGTATCAGTGTGAAGCCACTCCGTCCTCTCGGCCTTATCGGCGTGAGAACGAGCCTCCACCACCTGCTGCTGCTCTTCTTCTGCTCTGCTCCGGTCCTTTATCCCGACTGGTGTTTATTTTTAACTCCCAGTTCCTTTTCTTTCGCTCTCTCTCTCGTTTCAGGTAATCAGCCACTTTGCTCTGCTTGCTATTATCCCGTTGTGCCCGGAGACGCACCTCCATCTCCCTCCACTCACACACACCAGCACGTAATGCACCAACTTTCCTCTCTGGAGCTTTTTGGATCATTCGGGGGGGAGTGGGAGAGCGGGAGGGGAGGGGGGAGAGGGGGGCGGGTCTTGCTGCGGTGCCCGGGGGATGCTGAGGGGTCGGCTGGGTCTAATCTGGGCTCTGATCCCCTCTCCTCTCCCCGGAGACCCCCGCACTAACCTCATGTAATGACCCCTGATTAGGAGGGCTGCCTCCGACACAGCACAAAGAGGGTCTTTCTGTGGGGGCTCCACACACACACACACACACACACACACACACACACACACATATCACAAAGGCATAGTATGTGCACACACCTGAACATTCCCCGGCTCTCGACCCAAACATCAAAAATACGTTGCTTACAGTCGGCTTGAGCCCCCTGTTGCTAAGAGACCACAGCGCTGAAGTGACTTTGAGCAAGCGTGGTCAGCCGGGCAGTCATGTAGAGTGTGTGTGTGTGTGTGTGCGTCTGCCCTCCTCGTGGTCTGCGTTTGGAAAAACAGTCTCCACACAGCACATTGGGCTTCGGCGTAACAAACAGAGAGCCAGTTTCCACATGAGCCGGCGTTCAGCTCGGAAACGACCTCCCTTAAAGAGCCACCGCGAGCCGGGCCGGGCCGAGCCGAGCCGGGCCGGGCAGCGCCGAGCCCACGCGTCACCCCGTTGCGGAGAACAACAACACGGAGCAGACGGAGCACCTCCCCACCGCGGCATCGAGGCCTCCGCCCCAACCGGGAGGTGGTCCAGGCCCGAGAGCTCGAAGGTGACAGATGACGTGATAGTCATTCACAACGATGTTCTCCATGCGTAGGTGAGGACGAGGGAACGTACGGTTAGGGGCTTTTTTCTCCTGAGGCGGCGCCCAGATAACGGAAGCCTCATTAATAGATAAAACGGAGGGCGTCCTCCTGTGAACCCAGAGGGAACGCCGAGGGGAAACATGTCCCTCCGAGCTGGAATCAAACACGCAACGTGTTGACAGTGGCAGCTAGGTCTTTATCTTCACCCCCCCCCCCGACACGCCGCTCACTTCTGTTCCTCGACTGCTCCCCCTCTCTCCCTCCCCCTCTCCCCCTCCCTCATCCTTCCCTACATTGAGGGAAAAGGGAAAGCAGAGTGAGATTGGACGGGAACGGGAGAGACAGGTGGAGGGACCTGCCCTCGTAATGAAGTGTCCCTTCAAACCGTCTTGTCTCCAGTGAAGACGCTGCGAGACGCCTCCCTCCTCGTGCCCTGAGCTCCTGCCCCGCCGCCAGTAGAGGGCGCCGCCAATTCCAACTGGACTCGAGCCCGTTTGAGGCCTCTTCGCTTTTTAAACAGCCTCTGAGGTCAAATAAAGATAAAAGATGTACGAGCGCTGAGCTGCAGGGGGGCGTTCATAGTTTTCTCTTCACACACACACACACACACACACACACACACACTGACAACCATAAAAACTCAATTACTTATATATTTTATAGAGTAGTGCGACGTTTAAACAGTGCAGTGGTGGAGGAAGTAAACACCACCGCGGAGTAGTTTTATCTACGCAGCTGCATCGTATTAAGTCCCGTTGATCCTTTATTTTGTGTCTGAAATCTGCACGTAGTTGAGTAGAAAGAACACGTAGCCGAACACGGAACTGCAAATACCTTAAAGTGCACCTGAGTACATTTAACAGGAGACTGATGCATGAAGTTTCCTCTACTTTCAAATAAAGCTTGATGTTAAAATAAAACACAGCCGGTTCGCTCTGCAGATCGACCACAGGGATGTTGAGTATCATCATCATCACCATCATCATCATCATCACCCCCCTTTAAAACACGACCGGACGTTTGCTTTTGTAAACGTTACAGACGAGGAGAGAGAAATACGCTCGTCGCGCTTTTTAGGTATTTTTTAGGATGGATGAAGGGGCCGGAGAGACGGGAAGAGGTGGGAGGAGAGGGAGAGAGAGAGAGAGAGAGAGAGAGAGAGAGAGAGAGAGAGAGAGAGGGGGAAGAATAAAGGAGTCTTTACATGTCTGTGGAACCAGCAGCTCGCAGCACTTTCACATAATTTAAGACATATGGACGTTATTAGGACGGCCGTGTCTGCGTGTGCTCGGCTATATCAGTGTGTGTGTGTGTGTGTGTGTGTGTGTGAGTCACAGACTGCCTGTGTGTGTGTCTTTATGCTTGTGTCTTTGGCTGCAGGCTAACAGAAGACAGTCACGTTTTTGTGGTGCAGCAAAATGAACGACCCCCCCCCCCACACACACTCCCCCTCACCCACCCAGGACCCCCCCCCCCTCCCCCCCAAACAGTGTGGAGCTTGGACCGTCACCAGAGTGACAGCGCATGAAGCTTTTCTATTTCTTTCAAACCGCGTTTGATTGGCAGCCAGGCCGTGTGGCGAGGACACCGTGTGTGTGTGTGTGTGTGTGTGTGTTTGTCTGACCTGTAGTTACCTTACAGAGTCTGTGCCTGCACACACACACACACACACACACACACACACACACACAGCGACTGACTGTCTCTCTGGTCCTAAAGTAGCTCAACGCTGCCACTCCGAGTATTCCTGTGTGTGTGTGTGTGTGTGTGTGTGTGCTCGCCCCCAAAATTGACCAATTACGCCTAATCCAGCGCAGACGGGTAAAATTGCAAAATTCATGCCGTTACACGACCTCGTTTGGACTTAACTAATATTTCCCTGCCGAATTCCGAAAAACCGGCCCCCCTGCGTCGTCTTCTAGCCCGCTGGCGATCGGTCACCAAGCGGCGCCGATGAACAGTCGAGTCACGGATTCAGATGGCGGACTAGAAAGCGTCTCTCTGAATCGACAAAGGGCAACGGACTAAATGCCCGAGTGAGGAACCGATCATGTCACCGTAGCGACCGGGAGTCGCCCGTATGCGTCGGATTCGCACCTTCTACTCTACGCAACGTGAATCCAAGCAACACGACCCCCCCGCAGACTGTTAGGGGTCAGATGGTGTGCGCGGCGGCCCCCTGTGGCCGGGGTCGGGGGGTCGGGGGGTCGGGGTAGGTCATGTAAGCTGATCCGCGGCTCGCAGAGGAAACGTTAAGCGGCGCTAAACGTCTTAAGAGCGCCCTGTGATCTGCGCTGACCACCCAACGACGCACACAACGCAGCGCACGCACACGGCACCGGCTCACTGGACTATTGTTCATTCATTCTGAGGCCGGCGGAGGGAAGGAAGGAGGGATCGGAGGGAATGATGCAGGGGAGAGAGAGAGAGAGAGAGAGAGAGAGAGAGAGAGAGAGAGAGAGAGAGGGTGACGGAGGAGAAAGGAAACGAGGGGAAAATGAACAAAATAAGAGCAGCTGATGTTCAGGTGGCTGAAACATGGACCTCAGGAACCACGCGGACCCTCGCCGGCGTGGCCTCCGATCCCACCAGGAGCTGCTTTCTTCCCGCTCGGCCTCCTTTGTGTCCCAATGAAAAGAAGCAGCAACAGTCGGCCTTTATGACCGCGTTCTGTCTTATTTAAAACAAACGCAGCAAATACACAATAAACTAATTCCTCCTGTTCCTGTTCGCCTAAGCGGCTAGAAATCCAGTACGAGTTTAATTGTACGGCCACGCTTTGGCTTTCCACAGCTTGATTCTGGACCTTTAAGGGTTGGTAGGAGATTAATCACGTAGTTCTTGTAGCCTCCCATCAGTCTACTTTGTGTTAATAACAGTTTAGTGTATCTGTAAGGAGAAGGGAGGGAGGTCAAAGAACCCACAGCGATAAAATAAATTGAGAGAAACCTCAGACATGATGCAATTATGAGTCTGTGCAGGTTAGACAATAAAAAAAACACAAAAAGTACTTTCAAAATGACCGCAAAGGAAAGAAACTAATACTGTGAATCAGATCTACACGGGAAAGTTCCAGAGCGATTGCAACGCTCTCGGAGCGAATCGCTGATCATTCGACAGCTGCATTCGTCTCCAATATAAAAAACGCGCTCGCGCCAACGTTCCACTCGCTGGAAATGCAAACCATGCGCGCCAGTCGCACGACTCGCTCGAGCTTGGCGGGATGGGGGCGAGCGCGGCGACGTCCGGAGTCTTTCATGAGCAGCCGCCGCTGAGAGGAGAGCTCAGCGGGCCGAAGGCACAGAGAGTTATGCCTCCAGATAAAGCCAAGCGCTGTCGAGTGATTCATGTCAATATAAAAGCCGTCCTCTGGTCCGGTCCGCACGCTCCGCTCGTCTACTCGCCAACGCTCCCCCACCTCTAAATCACTTCCAGCACCATTTTAAGGGCAGTTTTAGGGTTTAAATCAGAAGGAATGTTATTTGTCCAAACAACACTGACGACTGGTGACTTATTCGTACTAAGAAATACTACGAGCAGCCAGGAAAGACTTAACCACCCCCCCTCCTCCCCCCACACACACCCTCCCTCTCTGCTTTCTGCCCGTCATGGAGTTCTGCTGACTACAGGGGAAAACCTCCACAATGTGTAAGTCTCTGTGAGGAGACGGAGGTGGAATGGGGGCGAATTCAAAACGACAGACGAAGGGGATTAATGGATAGAAAGGGGTATTGTTGGGAACCGTCGGTTGGGCGACGCCAACGAAGCCTTCGCCTCGGGCATTTTGCCGGTCGCCATCTTGTTTTTGGAGCCGGACTCGGGAGACATTCTCGGGCGACCGAAATGCTACACCAGACTTCCAGGAATTCAAAATATTCCGTGTTTAGTCCATCAAGACTTACCTAAAAAACATCAACCTCATGGCGGCATAAGACGGAAAATCCCCATTGACCGTAAAATAGTTATTAAGTATTTCAGTGGTTGATGTGGTGTTCCGACCAACCAGCACGTCAACATCGCTCCTCAATGAGCCAAACCACTTGCATGGCTAAAACCAAATTTATTTATATGTATATATAGAAAGATGGGAAGAGAGGCTGAGAGTATTCAGGAAGACATTCTGCCGTTTGCACTTTCTGTCTGTGTGTCGAGTCGACTCACGAGCATCCCATGCAGTCGTGAACGTGCCCGTTTCTCCGTCTCTCCAGGTGTTTGCCAAGGTGTTCAGCCACGAGGCGTTGGAGTCCTACCTCCCGAAAATCCAGCAGGTCATCCAGGAGAGCCTCCGAGTGTGGAGCTCCAACCCCGAGCCCATCAACGTCTACAGGTACGGTGGGCTTCCCAGCCTGGAGATGCAAATCCTCTCACTGCACTGAGAAAGGACATCGCAGAGATGTTGTACTGTTTGCGTTTCAACAGTAATAGAGAGGTTACCTCTTTAAACAACGTTATTATGAGAAACAAGAGCATCGACAATGACGGAAGCCCATCCTGGCGTTCTTTAGACGGTCGTTAGGAACATTGTAAGCTGCAGGAGTCGAACAAAGCAAGGCGCTTCAGAGGGAAAAGCTTTGAAGGTGGAGGGGGGGGGGGGGGAGACCTGGGTGTAAGTGAGGATCGCCGGACGTGACTGAGGTCCTGACTGGCCGTCATTCCGCAGGGAGAGCCAGAGGCTGTCGTTCACCATGGCGGTGAGGGTGCTGCTGGGCTTCAGGGTGTCGGAGGAGGAGATGAGGCACCTGTTCTCAACCTTCCAGGACTTCGTGGACAACCTGTTCAGCCTGCCCATAGACCTGCCCTTCAGCGGCTACAGGAAGGTACGTGTTCATGTTCACACCAACGAGATCTACCGATGCGCCGGTGCATCGATGGGGTCCCTTTTAGAGAAATCTCTGTATCTGGTGTAAGCCCCCCCCCCCCTACTTGTTCACAGGGCATCCGCGCGCGAGACACCCTGCAGAAATGCATAGAGAAGGCCATCAGGGAGAAGCCGCTGCGCTCTCAGGGGAAGGATTACAGCGACGCGCTGGACGTCCTGATGGAGAGCGCCAAGGAGAACGGCACCGAGCTCACCATGCAGGAGCTGAAGGTAACGCGCCAAAAAAACACCCCAGCTTCATCCACCGCGGAGGGAAGCCAGACGCACGAGAAGCCCCTCAATCGAACAAACACGCACAGGAGCGTTAACACGCCAGTGTGTGTGTGTGTCCAGACAAACACTAAGTCATGCGTAGTGAAACACGCCCCTGTTTATCCAGCAAAGTGCTGCCCAAATGGAGCCGCTCTCCGTTGACCGAACACACACATCGGCAATTATCGTGAGTTCTCGAAATAATCATCTTGGCATTGCGTGCCATAATAAGTGACTCGTGACATACATCGGTAGGTGAAATGTGACTGCAGGGGACGCTAAGCGGATTCCCGTTGGCGGCCTGTAAAACACACACAGTCACGGACAGGCACACCCTCTGTTTACCTATTAAAGGAATTCTGTGAAAACTCAACCCTCTCGCTCTCCCTCTCTCTCCATGTGGTTTCTGGGTGACGCCCAAGGGCCAAAAATAAGTCAACACTCCCCCTGCTAGGGGTCTGAAAGAGGCCTCCTGTACGCACACACTCACACTTAACGGTATATAAATACACACACAAAGTGAACTGGGGAGCCCTGTCGCAGAGGCCCAGGCTGAAGCACTCTGCTGCAGTTCTGACACACTCGTATATAACACACATATACATATACACACACACACACACACACACACGGCGGGTCAGGCAGAAGTGTGTTTTGACACCGATGATGGCAGATGAGAGGTTTATAATAGGAGTCGTGCTGCCGGCCTCGGCGTTATTCATTCCACTACCTTAATAATGGGCTCCGCGCGGCGCGCTAAATGTTGTTATTGGATTCCAACTTCATATTTCCAAACAGGCTACTTTTCAGGAATTAAAAACAACACGCTTTTATTAGGTATTGCCGTTTTGTTTTGTTGGCGGGCCCGAGGTGTGTGGTGGTGGATTTGTGCCCAGAGACATGTTTGGCTTGAATGTGACCAGCAAAAGGAGATTTCACATTCTCAATGACACCGATGACCCTGCAGCCTACAGGGGGGAGAAAACCGGTCGTAAATGGTGTATTTTGCATTTGCATTGGAAGCCACTAACCGGCGCTGGCGCACCGCCTGTCGTCCCCGCAGGAGTCCACCATCGAGCTGATCTTCGCCGCCTTCGCGACCACGGCCAGCGCCAGCACCTCACTCATCATGCAGCTCCTGCGCCACCCGGCCGTCCTGGAGCGCCTGAGGGAGGAGCTGAGGGCCAGGGGCCTCCTCCACAATGGTTGCCTCATGCCAGGAGAGCTGACGCTGGACACCATCGTGAGCCTCAAGTACCTGGACTGTGTCATCAAGGAGGTGCTGAGACTCTTCACGCCCGTCTCGGGGGCCTACAGAACCGCCATGCAGACATTCGAGCTCGACGTGAGTAGCCACTTACTGCTCTAATATGTCTACGCTATCTCGGCCGTCCTCACACATCAGGAGAAGAAAGCCATCTCATTTAGAATGAATGGTTCGTTAGACCCCAGAACATAGTCTTCCAAGACCTTGTGAAGAATAAAGAAAGAGTTCTGTCAACAGGAAACTACCCCAAGACACCAGATTTTAAGGGTATATTTACAAAGGACAAGGTGCCACCTCAGCTGATTCTCACATAGTATGATTTAGAGGAAGTGGAATCTGACCTTATGAGTCGAGAGTTGACGACACCGGAGAACACCGTTGATCGCACCGTTGATCGCACCGTTGATCGCACCTTTGATCGCACCTTTGATCGCGCCTTTGATCGCGCCTTTGATCGCGCCTTTGATCGCACCCATACCGATGTGCTCACCGGCCATCCGTCTGTCCTTCCTCCAGGGAGTGCAGATCCCAAAGGGCTGGAGCGTAATGTACAGCATCCGCGACACCCACGACACCGCCGCCGTCTTCAAGGACGTGGACGCCTTCGACCCCGACCGCTTCAGCCAGGAGCGGTGTGAGGACAAAGAAGGCCGCTTCCACTACCTGCCCTTCGGCGGCGGCGTGCGCTCCTGCCTGGGCAAGCAGCTGGCCACCCTCTTCCTCCGCATCCTGGCCATCGAGCTGGCCAGCACCAGCCGGTTCGAGCTCGCCACCCGGCAGTTCCCCCGCGTGGTCACCGTGCCGGTGATGCACCCCGTCGACGGGCTCAAGGTGAAGTTCTTCGGCCTGGACTCTAACCAGAACGAGATCATGGCCAAGTCGGACGAGCTGCTGGGAGCGACCGTTTGAAGGGCGGCGAGTCGGCGAGTAGGGGGGGGGAGGGGGTGAAGAGGTGGGAGGGGTGAAGAGGTCTTCAGAAATAAGATTGAAGGGAGGAAAGAAAGAATTTCAGAGTTATTTTTTCTTCTCCAATTTTGGAGGTTCCTTTTCAGACTAACGGAAAAGTAGAAGTCCTCGTTTCTTCTTACACCCGTTGAAGACGATCGGGACTTTCCTCAAAGGAGCTGCCAAAAAAGTTCTTAATTATGATCTATTCGGCGTACTTAAAAAAAATGCACAACGTGAGAAAGAGAAGTATGCTGGTACTTTTGGAGAAATGAAGTGTAGAAATTTGAAAAGTAAAAGTAAAGACGATTGAGGAAAGAAGGAAGCCGACATGGAGGAAACAGGGTATAGGACGAAAGAATAGGATAGTTTAGCATTCCGCGTGTGCTTAATCAAATGCAGTGAACCATTCCACTTGTGTAGCAGGGTAAAAGAGATGGATGTATGGAAACGGACAGATCTAGATTTCTGCCCAAAATCTATGAATTTTTAACCACAACTTTTCACTGCCCCTCCCCTGATTAAACTGATGTCTTCTGCTCTTTTGAGAAAGATTTGAGAGACGTTGAGATTCACTTACATTCATTTTTACTGTTTTACGGAGAATTTGGTTTTATTTTGTTAAACCACCTTTGCTTCCTTTCTGGTTTTATTTTTACACGATTTGAGTTACGCGTCGAACAGGCGACGTCTTTGTCTCGCTGCTCCTCCTTCAGCGCCGAGCACGAGATTCCCTGTTTGTTCTTTAGCCGCGAGAGATTTATGGCGTCGAGGTGATCGCACAATCAGAACTCTCGGAGGTTTGCGCGATCGCTCCGCCCGAAGCCGGAGGGGGGAGGAGGGCGGGGCTTTCTCCCATTGGACGAGCCGATGCAGATGGATTCTGGCCCTTCCAGACGTCGCTCGCTCTCTCTACAAACCACACCACTGATTCCTTCATCATAAAAAATACATATATATATATATATATATATATATATATATAAAAATTGAATTATTTTGCTGCTTTTCCTGTGTACATTTTCTAATTGAGAGTTATAGTTTGCTATAGTTTGTATTGCGTGAGATTTGCTATTTCTTTCCCTGTATATCTATATATCAATATCTATAGATATATAGATATAACTTAGCTGAATACAATATTTGAGAAAAAGAGAAATGAATAGATTAATTTGTACAATATTCCATTTTTTAGCCGGCCATGGGAAAAATCAGCTATCTACGTCTACTAATAACCTAATATTAATGTTATTGTATAATTAATATTGTTGTTATAAAATATTTGAAATGCTATTTTTTATTCTATTACAGATTTAGAGTTTTTAGCCTTGATGAGGTCTTTGATAAATATTGGATGTATTTAGAATGTTATGTATTTCAGTTATATTGTAAACAGTGTTTAAAATGTTAATATTGTTGATTTGATTATTGTAATAATTATTTCTTTTGTTATTCAGACTTATTATCACTGCATTTTATTTGACATTAATTATGGAAAACAGAAAGCACTTGCGAGGTATGTCTATTTTTTAAGTGCCATGCGACTACACTTCTCCCTCCTCTCACCTGTTGGTTTATCTGTCTTATGTCATTCTGTACATAATATTTGTATTTCTTTTTGCAGGAAAACAATGTTCCTTTAGTTAAAATATGAATGTCTTGGTCTACTTTCCTCCCTTTCTTTTTGTTACCGTGATTGTTAAATGTACTCCTGTAATAAACCATAAAGTAAAAAGATATCTGAATATTGCATTTTGTGCCCACACCTTCAATACCAAAATACTTCTAAATATATCTCATGCATGAAGCAATTCATGTTCTTCTCCATATTTTACACTATAAGGCTTCACATATATTTGTGAAGTGAGCGGTAACCGATAGCAACATATATTCTACACTCAAGACAAAAGGTGTCCGATGTTTAAGGCGACCGCGGCACTCGTTTTGGACACTATACTCCGATCCACAGAAAGGTCTAAACACACAACGACAAGACAGACTACCAGATATACATGCGTGTACCAATACATGCACACACACACACGGGCTAGGAGAGGAATACACGCATCACCCTGTGAGTCACATGGCCGCCGACACACACCAGTCAGTCGACGGGCTGCTTTTATTCCAACGCGGTTTGAGGACATCGAGAAGAAAGGCGCTGATGTTGTGGAGAAAAAAAACGACACACTTCGTGGACATGGTTTGAGCGCACACACACACACACACACACACACACACACACACACACACACACACACACACACACACACGCACAAGCGCGCAAGGAGAGGAATACACGCAAACGCACATTCAGTCACTCGGGACATAATTAATCGCATAGACAGATATTCACACATGACATGAATAAAAAAGATGGCAGAAAGAAACACTGGCTCAACATTTTATACACACACACACACACACACACACACACAAAGAGCTTGTGGGAAGAACAAGGAGTTCTGTTCTATTTGTTTATAGTTTTGCCGCCAGAGGAGACTGTTTGCAACACTAAGTACTCCAAGATGATGGTGGCCTGTGCCTGTGTGTGTGTGTGTGTGTGTGTGTGTGTGTGTGTGTGTGTGTGTGTGTGTGTGTGTGTGTGGACGATTTTCATGAATGAAGTGATTTTTGTATAAAAGCGGTTGTTTCTGGCGCGACATCACGCCGCTTTGAAGCTGCGAGTCCTTTCTACACTTCTACACTAAATTCAACTCACTAGTCACTATTTTACACGTGACGGGGAAGCCGGCGTGCCAGCAGTTACATTTAAAGTCCTCTGCCTGGTTCTTCTTCAGAAAGGCGGCAGAAACCTGCTCACCCGAAACCTGCACAGGTGTCAGTGTTTCCAGGCCGGTAAACCGCCGCGTGTTCCGGTTGGGCGAGGACGTGTGTGATCTTCCCTCATTGCAGCGACCTGGGTTGTTGTTTTTTTTTCTTCTTCTGCCAAAACGTGTGCCAACGGCTCCCGGTGTGATATTTCCTCCCACGGTCTGCAGATCTGATTCCACCGACATTCCGTTGGCAATCGATATCAGGAGCGACCGGGCCGGGACGTCACGCGGCACGCAGGCCGGCCGAGGTCGCGTGGAGGTCGCGCTTTCGCGTTGATCCTTCTCACGTTTCCTTCCAGGAAGGTCCACAAAGTGAGTGAAGAAATGAGTTTAAGAGACCGAATAAGGCCTTAGGTAACAAAGCATTATGTTTTCATGAGCCGGGGGGTTATTGGGGGGGGGGGGGGGGTTGGTCCCAAAGTACAAAGCTGAGACCAGCATTAAAAAAAAACCACTCCCTTGTTTATTATTATTATTATTTGCGACTTCTTTTCAAGTAGTAAGTAAAAGGGGCGACGTCTCGGCAGCGTGAAAGGAACCGCTGCGTCACGTGTTTGGCACCCTGCAGAAGAAGAGTCAAACCGTGTGGCAGAGTAGGAGAAGAAGAAGAGTCAAACCGTGTGGCAGAGTAGGAGAAGAAGAAGAGTCAAACCGTGTGGCAGAGTAAGAGAAGAAGAAGAGTCAAACCGTGTGGCAGAGTAAGAGAAGAAGAAGAGTCAAACCGTTTGGCAGAGTAAGAGAAGAAGAAGAGTCAAACCGTTTGGCAGAGTAGGAGAAGAAGAAAAGTCAAACCGTGTGGCAGAGTAAGAGAAGAAGAAGAGTCAAACCGTGTGGCAGAGTAGGAGAAGAAGAAGAGTCAAACCGTGTGGCAGAGTAGGAGAAGAAGAAGAGTCAAACCGTGTGGCAGAGTAAGAGAGGAAGAAGAGTCAAACCGTGTGGCAGAGTAGGAGGAGAAGAAGAAGAAGGCGCGGTGGTGACAGCGGCGGGGCGGCGTGGGCGATGCCTGGGAGGTAGATGGCTCACAGGTGTGTGAACTTCAGGTGAACTCGCCGTGATGCGTCTGGAGCCCAGCAGGTGCAGGTGAGTCACCCGGAGGTCAGACCCTGAGCTCTCACACAGACGTACAACCACCGAGCGGAAGGAGGAAGAGTGAGAGTCAACGGGAAGAGAAAAGACCACTTCAGGGGAAAGCATAAAAGGTGGGAAATCACAGAGATGACAAAAAGACGTTGAGGAAAACAAAGCAGGAAGCAGCCGAAAGTGAAGATGAAACAAAGATGGCAAGATGGAGGCATTAATGAAAGAGAGGTGGAGGTGGGGGAGAGGATGATGGAGGGCGAGGAAGGCTCCTCCATCCATTAACGTCGACTTTATCGGTGCCATCGTGCACACACACACAGACTATTTTGACTACACTTGCCCTCCAGTTCTTGGGCTCTTATCTGCTTTTTATGAAGGAACAATGGCTTCTTTCAGCCGCCTGCCCTTCCTCTCCGCCCAACTCGCTCTCCCCTCGTCTTCCTCAGCCTCTCTCCATCTTCGGAATGCAAATTTTCCGACCACACGGTTTGAAGTCGGGGGGGGGGGGGGGGGTGGGGGGTGCTTATTATGGAAAAGAGAACAAGACACAGAGGGAGGGAGGGAGGGAGGAAGAGATAGAGGAGTGAGGGGCGGGTTGGGGGAGACGGATGGGGGGAGAAGAGCAGCGCTGTTGTTCATTAGTCGGAAGGAAGAACAAATAAAGCCAAAGAAAGAAGAAGAAGTCGGGAGTTACTCCGGGCCAGTGAGCAGCCGGGGCGTTTCCCAGCATGCACCGGGCCACGGGAAAGGGGACGCACCTCGGGGGGGGATTAACAACCTGGCGTCGGGTGCGCTTTGCATGCTGGGATGTGGCCTCGTTACCTGTCGCTAGCGAACGACCGCCCGAGGCCACAAAGTCAGTAAACGTGGAGTGAGAGTGGGCGGGGCTTAATCAAAGGAAAAAGCCAAGAGAACATTTCCGCCCAGGATTCTTCTAAATGTGCCACGTGACAAATACGGACGCCGTCACCCGATTGGCCCGGGACGCACGGCGGGAACGACGGCCTGCAACACAACGACCGGGTTGTTGGTTTGTGTCCCAGACCTCTGCTCAAGGCCCTCGGATGCCACGAGGGCCCAGAGGGGGCT